TAGATAGATAGATAGATAGATAGATAGATAGATAGATAGACAGACAGATAATTTTTTGCTTGCTAGTTCACGCTCCTTATCGGCAGTGGTGGTAATGCACCAAATGTTATTTGCCATCTGCCACTAAAAGCCAAGAAGAAGACCTCAGCAGTGCCTTTTTGACCTTCTGACCCCAGCACCAGCATCATAGAAACTTCCTGTGTTGATTCTTATTGATTCCCTGAAGTTTGATCTAAGTTTTGCTGCCACATCAGCCTTTCTGTTTTTTTACATAGAGTATTTGGTTTGTTTCTTTGAGCTCTTATATTGGCTAGAACCTCCTGCTGCATGTGATATAATTAAAATCAGGTAAAGCCAAAATTCTGATGCATTGCCAGGCTGATATTTCAAGAGCCTCTCAGTTAGCATAAAATGTGCTGACGTTCTACGATTCTGAAGCCTGCAAAACTGAAACAAGCAATAATGGCACAAATATATGTGGATTTTTTCCCTTCATTTTTTTATTCACTTTGATTTAGCTCCATTTTATAACTGAAAAGACTTCATAGGATTTTATACAGGAGAACAAAAAGCAACAATCCTCTTAATTTGACTTTGGCAACACAAAGCTTATCAATGCCTGCAGTGAAACTGACAGCATTGCAGGATTTCTGACTGCTTTGGTACAGTCAAAATGGAATTTTTGCTCTGAATACTTAACAAGTACTTTAAACAAATATAGAAGAACATGTTTCAACCCCCATGAAAAGTTTGCTTTAAGATATTCTCTTTACTTTTATGTGATAAACACAATCTGTCATGTCCCTTATCAGCTGTGTTGTAGAGCTTCCTTCCTTTCTTGATTTTAAAATATAAAAAACAAACTTCCATACACTCTCACATTTATTAATTTATCAGAGTTGGATCTTTTTTTTTCTTGAAGTCAATTTAACATTTCTGGTGAAACATTAAGCTGCAGCCAGTCAGATGCCTGGCTGTAAATTTGGGTTATTTCCCTGCAGGAAGCAGTTTTTCTTCTGAGGCTGCACTGACCATTACAGTTCATCACAAACCACTCGCCCTTAGCTCGCTCCATTATTTATCACTAACATGCAAAAACTCATTAAATGGAGAAGCTGCTTTTTTTTCTCCCTTTTGCCTTTTATTGGACTATAAATCAGCTCATTTGTTGAGTAACAGGCAACTCATCACTGATCCTCGAGGAGAAGGTGGGCCTGCTGTGAAGCATGGAGTTTAAGGTAAGACTTAAAATTTGCTGAAGTTTCTGATCACCAATCTCACTTTTAAGCCTCGTTGATCAGGCAAAGTCAGCAGTGATCAAAGCTAAGAAAAGATAAGTCAGAGTACTGCAATCCTTTTACACACCAGGGTTTTTTTTTCTGGGTTTTGAACAGCAAGTTTTCAAATGTAACAAATTTCCATTGTGCTGTCTGTCTCTGCAGCATTATGGCAAAACAAAACAAAAATCATACATGTGGCTAATTGACAAGAAAATTACGTGAATTTTTTTAGAGTTTAACATAGCATTATTAACTTAGTGTCATGTTAGTAGTGTTAATTTTTATTTCCCCATTTCACTGCAACAGATATTATTAAGTACTTGATGTTGCAGCAGTTTGAAATTTGCATTTGAGGAAATGTCCATTTACATGTGTGCAATAATAAGAGCTTAAATGAGAGCAAAAACTGATGCAACATGTAATTTTAGCTTTGTTTTCACTACAGCTTGTCTCATTACTTCATCATACACAGAATGAATTAACTTGCAGTCTGTCCTGTGATATTTTAGATAATGATGGCCTTTAATTATGCGATGAGCCATTTACAAAGTGGTAACAAAGCTGAGTGTTTCATTTTAGGCGCTCCTTGTAGGCAGATATCAATTATCAGTCCTATCGTTTCAAACGGACTCGCAAGCGGTTCATTTCGATTCACCTGCACTTTGAGCGAATACCTCTGACAGCTAATTAAAAAACACAAACACTGATAAACGCACGCTTTATGCACATCATTACATCGTGGGGTCATTATTTTGCTCATGCATGCAAAACGAGAACGAGCTGCGGCTGATGAGAAGTCGAGCCTGCTTTGCTCATAACGCTGCACCATTCTATCAGATGGAATCAAATCAGCTGGGAGTTTGTGGGCACGACTGAGCCGGTGTTCTGCACATCATACGTGACAAGGGGAACAGAGGGAAGCAAAAAAAAGAGAGAGTGTATGCTAAAAGAGAGAAGGCAATCCCACGTAACAGGAGATGTAGTGTCGATACAAAGAGATTAGCTGATATCAGGGTAACATTTGTCTATTTGAAGACACAAATGTGTCCTTATTTGGGCTTATGCTCAGCTGTTTGACAGTGTGTGGTGAATATAATCCTCCAGCAGCTCACAAGGCTTTTCTTATAGAAAAAAAAAACTTGTCAAGTTACATTAAAACCACAGTTTTACAGATTACTTCAGCTTTTATCCAGTCATGAGAATAATGAAGACTGAATGAGTTGATGTGCACTGGTTTGCGTGCTCTTTGGTTTGTGTCCCAGTGGGTGCTGCAGTCTGAGCCACTGAGCCCAAAGCTACATTGGATTAAAGCTTTATTATACCATTGTGATTCACAGCAGCTGCTTGAGGTAAAACTTAGCACCTACACCACACAAATTGACTGGAAAACTAAACTTGTGACCCGGTTAAATAATAACAACACACACATTACAAAAGTTTAGTTGGTGTATGTAATGAAACAATAAAATGAAGATTAGTTACCCAGGCAAGTGACTTGTTTTGGCATATAAAGGGATGTTAAAAATGACTTGTCTGATATATTGATATATTTCTTTGCTATGAAGCTATAGATACTCAACAACAGGGGTATTGTGGGGGGCCAAAATTCAAAATTTTGTCCAAGCAATGGTCAATCTCTGCCAATATGTTTTGAAAAAATTAAAAATAAACAAATAAAAATAAGGTCTTATATAACAAATATTTTTTTCCAAAAAAAGAAAATATATATATATATATACCCTAATGGGTAAGAAAAAGGATTAAATTTTGAAGAACATGAAAACCTCACTAAGAATACAAAAAAGATCACTATAGGCTACTTTAATGACAAGACTGCACTTGATTTGATACATGTGCTTTACAATGTGAAACCTTTAATGTGTGTGTTTCTACATTATCACTGATGTGGTAAAAATAAATAAAGCATAGCTAAATTGTCTAATCTGATTAAACTGTTCAGCAACACTTTGCAGCAACTAATCAAATAATTCAGTTTACTTCTGTTTAGTTATATAAATGTGAAAGATGAGAGCACTATACAAAATTACTCTATTTCAGTTTTACACAGCAGCTGTGTAAAAGCAGTCCTGAAATATTAAATCAATAATCCCACTGATGAGAGTTAAGATTATTTCCCTGTTTAAGTCTCTTACAATATTTCACTTCTTTAATGTGATATACTGTAGGTTTTATGTGTTCAGGTAAATGCAGCAGAGGATTAGGTCCTCGCCAAGAGTCAGGATATTCTAATGGATCGTGCAGACTCAACAGTCTTTTTAAACAGAACTTGTTGAAAAGCTCATGGCAGCTGACAGGCCTTTCTTGGCTCGAATGCCCACAGCTCCATCTACTTAACTAAAAATGGGAGGCTCAAAGCAAATCACTGTCTGCTTTTGTAATTGAAGTATTTAATTCTCTAAGATGAGATAACTAAGGGAATTCATGGCTGCTCATCCCTTATTTAGTATGGTTACAAAAGATGGATGAAAAAAGGATTGACTGTAGAAGTCAGAGTTGCTTTAACAATCCCACGCTGCTGAGGGCCGATCATAGTTTTTATACAGTAAGAGGGTCAAGGCAAAGTTTCCTCATCCACATCACTCAAGCCTTCATCTTCACCCCTATATGACATCACATCAGTAAACACAACTGAATGCTGATTCAACATATACACAATTGTATATTGTAACTTCCTGGATTTTATTTTTTCAAGCGTTTTTGAAGTCAAACTTCGTCCTTTTTTAACCATTCTTATCAAAAGGCTTAGCTTATTCAATTGATGGGTGTAATAACTTTTGGTTTTTGTAACTTTATTTACAAATATTTTCCCCATGCACTGTATGTTCTTTCAAATCACCCAAAAATGTTGAGTTTTAATTTTTTATACATGCTTAATTTGTTGTCTTCTTTTTTATTTTTAGCTAAACTTTTGCTACTTTTAACATTTAGCCACCAGTCCACTACTTTAGTGCTTTAGTTAGCCCTTAGAGCCTTAAATTAGCCAGATTTTTGCTTTACTTTTAGCAAGCATTTTGCTACTTTTGGCATTTAGCTTCCTTTAGCTTTTAGTGTTCTGCTACTTTAAGCTTTAATACCTCGGTCTCAGCTCATTTCAGCAAAGTCATTCAGCCATCAACAATCACCCTGCATTTTCGCTGCAAAAGGCCCAAAATAAACAGCCATTCTGACCTCTTTTGTGTACATCTGTGCAACGATTCAACAAAACGTTTATTATTCAATCTTTATGTTTTACTGTGTGTGGAGGTAGGAACAGTTTTCTCTGAGGGGGCAGGTCTGAAACAAAGTCCGGAGGGGGGAAATGTAATGAGATCTTAGACACATCAACAAAACAAAGTAGAAGAGGCTGCTCACTGCTGCCTGCCTGCTTCCTGCTGCACGTGGCCAGATGACATTTGCTGAGGCTTGACCTAATTGCAGGGGAGCAACCATAGTCATATCCAGACATATGGCATCTGCAGCAACCTGATCCCACAAATCTGTTAAACCTTGAAAGGTTTTACACTTCGGGCCAGATGTTGTTTAGGATCAGTGCTTTGGAGGTGAGTTTAAGGTAAATCCCCACGCACAAATTAAACAGTGTCAAACTGCAAAGCTATACGCTCCAACAAGGGGTCCACAAATTCACGCATCTCCAAAGCACTGGGGGGGCTTTGTGTTATGAAATCACCATCCTGCCAAGTTGCGCGTTTTGGCCAGAGGGAGGCGCAGCACAGCCCTCGTCCTCTAAGAATTAATGTGCAAGTTTGGAGTCAAACATCGTGAGCAGAGCAGAGACAACCAAGCGCAGCATCTTTTTTAAATACGCGTTTTTTTCCCACATTATTGTTATTATTTCCCCCCCACAGAAGTGACCATAAGTGCTCCAACTTTACACCTGAGGTGAGAGCAAACTTTAGATATTTTGATTGTCTGCACAGCGACATCAGCCTTTCTGCACGCTTCCTTTTAGGATCAGCAGCCCTCTTCTAGTCACTGTGCGTCTCCTTGGTCTTGGCGCCGTAAATTTAAGCATCAGTGGGAGCGCGCACACAGTCTGCAGCAGCCCAAACTCACATCCCTCCACCACACCACGGAGCGGGCTCAGGCTGGCTGGCTGCTGCACCGGGACCATGGAGCAAAAATCACCCAAAGCTGAGGGCTCCGCCAAGAGACACGAGTCTGTGTCCTACCAGCGCAGGATGTGGAAGAATTTCCAGGAGAAAACCAAGCCGTGGCTCAGTCCCAAACTGGGATCGGAGCGCCGCGGCGCCTCCGGGGGCGCGGAGGGCACCAAGAAGGAATCCGGTTTGTGGATGTTCAAAAGAAAAAAGAAACAGCTGGACCGGGTGTTCTCGTCGTCGCAGCCGAACTTGAGCTTCGAGGGGGAGAAGTGCGCCGCCGGAGGAGTCGAGGCGGCCGCCGGAGCGATGAGCTCCGACGGGCAGCCTTATTTGCTCTGCGCGGCTTCGGGGGCCACGGGCAGCAAACCCGAGCTGACGGCCCACGGGAGCCCCAAACTCCTCGCGTCCCAGCTGGTGATCCACCAGCAGAAGAGCTCCTCTCTGGGCTCGGCGTGCTTCGAGAGGCTGGTGGTGGATCCCACCGCCGCGGTGCTGATGGGAGAGGAGGAGCAGCTGCGTAAAAACGCGAGCGATTCTGTGAGTAAAGCTTTGACACGTTTGTAAAAGGGCAAAAAGGATGAGTGTGCGTGGATGGACAGGTCTGACAGTGAGGCGGGCTGGGGTAGAACTGATCGGGATGAATGGGGACACGTTTTGACAGTGATGGTGCTGCGGCTCCTTCCCTGCTCCTCCTGTCATGTGATGCGCTCATTGATTTTTCACTCCACTCATTTCTTTACTCTACCTACAGCTACTCTGACTCCTGTCTGTTGGCCATGTGAGTGTCAGCACAGAGCTGTGTGTGATCAGCAACAAAGCAGATTAAAAGGTTTCTTGTCTGGAATTCTTTCACCTTCACAGTCACCACACTGTCCTGAATAAATGCACGCTCCAAAAAAGCACCAGTTAGGTCAGGAGAGGGTCATTATCCTACATATTTTACTTGTTTCCCCTGCTCGAACACACCTGAATGACCCCCTAAACTGCTGAAACATGGTAATCACTCATTAATTCAAATCAGGTGTGTTAGAGCAGAGAAACAAGCCAAACATGATAGAGGACCAGGTTTGCCCACCTCTAAAGTAGATATGTTCCCCATTTAACATGCTGAGTCAGGGTACCCCAGAATCAAAGATTTGCCAAACTAAAGGCACTAAAGTCATACTTAAAGGGGACCTATTACGCAAAATTCACTTTTTTATGCTTCAATTTGGGTCTGTAGGAACTGTTTCCAGAAAACGCCCAAGAGCCAAAATAAATAAATAAACAAATAAATAAAAAAAAAAATAAAACTCCCAAACGTTTTTTGACAATATGTAAAAGTTTTGTTAGTGTCAGCAAATGAGCTGTTTCAAAAACCCATGGATTGTGATGTCACAATCTGGGTGACCTAGCAAAGCCAAGGTGAATCCAGCCCCTCACCTGGTAACCCAAGTGAAGACTCCACCCTGGTTCTACTGGTTTGACAACAGTCATGGAGAACAGAACAGAGATGTCTGGCTTAATTTTAATTTTTGATGGCAGTGTTCTAGCAATATTGCCAAAGAAAGCCGTAGTTTGTGCAAACAATTTCACAATGAACTTTGAAAACTTCTGCCAGTACACAGCAGGATTTGCCCAAGGACGTCCAGCTGAAGGAAACTCCTGTTCCTACTGTTCATCATAAATCTGCAGATGATGGTGACGTAAGGGATGTTTTGTGTGTTTTAGTATTGCTGTTTGACGTGAACGTAATTTGCCATTTAGCACAAATTACTGTTGCACAATAGCACACGGCTGTGACAGAGTAAGCGAGCAGCTTCGCCTTTCCCCCTGAATAATGTTGACCTGGGGAAGTGGCGACGGCGGTCCGTGTTGCTGCACCGGGCCGCAGCGCTCGTCTCACGACACGGGAGCCTCCAGGCTGCTGCGTGGACCTTGACCGCCCCTTGGTTCATCTTTGCCGGCTTCGGGAAACCCCGACTGGAACGTGTTGGCCTCCCTGGCACCAAGACCCCTGACTACCGTCTGTCCCTACCAAGCCCTCGCCTGGGGGGGCACTGTGCGCAGCCTGTCTACTACTTTTGTACTATTGTGCATCTGCTTCTTAGACATTTTCACCTATCTGAAGTGCTAACATAAACGCTGTGTTGGGAGGGCGGAGCTAATGTAAACAAAGGCTGGATGTTAGCTTATTTGCATAAACAGCGCATTCTAAAGGGAGCTCAGAACAGACAGAACTGACCAGGTGAAATCTTATCTGAAAAGGATTTTGTGTATTAAATCTAATAAACATGTTTTGTATAGCCCACAAAATGTACCCTAGCTTGTTCAAGGGACCATAATAGGTCCCCTTTAATTATTTGAACAACAACATTTGAACTGTTTGGAATCCTGTCTAACACTTTCCTGCTTTTAGCCACATCTACTACATCATATCATTTCACAAAGACTGCTCTGGTCTAATAATATGATTATAATGGAGTATAATAACACTGGAGATGAGGAATACACTTGAGATTTTCTTTTAAAGCACTCAAGTGGCAACAATTTTTGCAAAGCTTTTGGTCCTTAAGTGCCCCTGACCTGCTTTAGAGCACCATCCAGACTGCTGTCTGAAAGTGATTTAGCACATCTCACAGAAGTTGGCAAAAAACGTTCCACTAATAAATCTCGTGGGGAAAGTGCTGCACATTCAGTTATAGAGATATGTATTGTTGACTTAATTGGAATTCATTTTATTGCTCTCGTTGTACAGTTACATAACATGCAGGAATCCTGGTCTGTGGGTCCTTTTTGAGGGGTGTGAGTGGCAAACTAGTTCAGTGTTTCCTCAGTTTAGATTGAGAAATAATGGCGTTATAGTCATTTGGGTTAATCCTTGAAAATAATATAATGTATGTAATGTGGTGAGATGTCTCTCGGTGTGTTTTGAGAGCGACTCTCAGTTAATAAGTCTTCAAATTTTAGCTTATTGTTTGTCAAATTGAGTTATAGACTTTTTTGTGTTGAATAATGTTGATTAGTAGCCATCTTGAATTAATTACTTAATGTTAATAAGTTAAAGCAACATAGAATGATTCTGCAAAGGTTAATGTTAAAGATGTAAACAAAGCTCTTGCAAAGATCGTTTTGAACCAATTCAGATTCCTATTGACTTATTTAATCTCTTGTAAACTTGCAAAGCATGTTGCATTGCTTTTCATCACTTTCTTATTTTCCACCTCATAAAAGAGATGTTTGTTTTTTCTGTTCTAACCTAATTTTACATTTGTTTTTCTACACTGTACACGCCTCCATCTTGAAACATTTCCATTTTTGATAATGCGTTATTGCAGTAGCTACATTACAGCACAATCAACAAAATGCAAGATAAAAGAACACTAAGGCCATCTTATATCTGCCTCCAAGTATAGTTCACCACATCACATGCTGAATGTGTGTTGTGCTTTTGTTTAATTGTAATACTCATGATGCAGACCAGGAAGAATCCCAGCCTCTATAATTTATGCTGTAGCTCTGCAGCTCAGCACCTTGATTCTAGTTTGCAGTCGTGTTATACAGATTTTTCTCCTACCTTCATCTGTGTAACTCAAAGGCTTCTGAAGTATTTAGCAGTCCAACCTGAGAAGTCGGCTTTTGTATCAGAAAGAAAACTAGGCTCAACGCCAAAACTTTTGCAACATGCGGTGATGTTTCTATTTATGCAATCTCTTGGATTTTGCAAATCAAATGCTGGAAAGGGGATGCAGCAACTTTGAAAGACATCCGTGTAGATGAGTGTTTTATCATTGTAACTTCATGGTTAGCTGAAAAGTCTGAACAATGAATGGGTTCTTAGTCGAATGCATATTTTGTGTAATAATCTATTGCATAGGTGAAAGCCTGAAAGGCTTTATTCCAATTGTCTAAATAAGGTCAAAGGTCGGACAAAGCTATAAGCTAATCATTTTTCTTAACTTTACTTCCAACTTGCAACCAAAAGAAATGTTCCTGATTATAAAAAAAACATCTGCCTTCAGAGCTGCTTAAAATGTGCTGTTTTCAGAGAAATGTTTATTTTTTTAAACGGCCACAATATGAGCTTTTAACCACATTGGGGTAATTGTCACCAATAATTTGGTCATTTCAAAATAAATGCATATTTTTCTGTCCACTCATCTTAGAAAACGGTCTTCTAAGACTTTTCTTTACACATGTAGATGTGGCTTAACACCTTTTTTTCTGTTGCCTTTTTTTTCTGATAATGATACCAACAAAAGCCAAAGCTGCAGCTAACCCCCTCTTTTGGTTACACAGCAGTGGGAAGACAAATTCTGACAGCTTGCGGCTTGTAGAGTTGGAGCATTTCTGTTCCTGCAGTCTGCACTGTACTGATAGAAGTTCAACCTTTCACAGCTAATTTCCTCTGTTCTACTCATGTGCTCCAATTATCTCACGGGCTCGCTCGCACCATGCACACTTTCTTTCTCTGTGTGCATTCTTAAAGGAGTCACACCACTCTACACCACCACTTCATTGCATTGTATCAACACATTTCAGTGCAATGCAGCACGTGGTCTGGGTCTTAACCTACTTCTCATTTGGTTCAGATCTGTCAACATTAAGAGTTACTGTATGCCTTAGGTTGTGTAAGAAAGTATTTAGCCCTTAACTTCTGTTTGCTTCCTCTCAACACATTGCAGAGGATAATTTATCAGTTTATCAAAAAAAATCTTGAAATCTTTGTCATTTATATTGCAACTTCATGTTGATTTTCTTTATCCTCGTTTACTTTGTAGAGACTAAAACCATCTATAACTAGACATGGGTTTTTACGATGTAAAAACAAGTGTGCATTGCCACGTAGCATGTCATTGCAGCATGGCTTTGCCTGCAGCAGTGGACTTGCAGAATGAAATGTGACCAAGTTCAAATGTGTTTTCTATACCAGCTTGTGCCTGTCAAGTCAGCAGGTGTTTATAATGAGGGTAATTGTGTGAAAATATGACGTTTGTAGATATTTTCTGTTAAAGTTGCTGTTGCTGGGTTTCAAACCCTGCTCTCTGACATAAAAGACCATGGCAGTAACCATGAGACCATTGGAGCTGTGGCAGAGAACCCTGCCAGGGGTTGGTTTGTATGTGTGCTGAAAGAAACCACATTGCCAATGTAATGCTTGTCACTAATTTGAAATATATTACAACAATAAAGCAATATTAGGACAACATTATAGTAAAACATCAAAATACAATCATATTAGTAATGTAAACACTGAACTATTGAGATTAAATATTATTAAACTATGGTGCAGTAATGAGTAGATACAACAGGGACAGTATTGGACCAATACAAGACTCCATTGACTCCCATCATATGATTTTAAACATTAACATTTCAAAAACTATAAGTTGGACAGGCACCAAAAAGCATAGCCATCATTTGGCACAGGAGCTTTACAAATATAAATTACAATGGCAGCTCTAGGACAAAGTATGCAGAAGGAGAAGTGTGCCAAAATGGAGATGACTTGAATGGGAAACGAATCACAATAGTGTGCATTGCACTGGTAATGCACA